GAAACGGGTCCAAATGACTCTTTGAGTATTTAAAGTTGCAGAAACAATCAAGTCAAGTGCCTGAAGGACCCCATCCTGTCACTGGGAGTCCAGGCGCTTCAGTGAGCGGCACTCCGGATTCATATTAGTGGTCCGCAGGATTTAAAATTATGAATTTAGTGATGCCTGAGGTCCAAAAGGTTGGGGACCCCTGATATAGAATAACCTAAGAATACTATAAATTATCTAAAATTAAGATAAAAAATGGACTGGAATTTTAATTTTATTGGCTTTACTGCGAGTGAATATAGATGGTTTTTTACATTCTTTTTTAATATACAGGAAATACTGATTTAAACTTATTCATTACTGTCTAATTAGAAATTTTCCCTATATTAACTTAAGCAAACTTTTTAAAAAATTTATTATTATTATTATTTAGACAATTTACCACTGGAAATACTGCCCAACCAGAGCAGAATTTAGTTTGATGACAATTAACTAGGGAATACAACCATTGTATGCTAGACTGAGAAATTTAAATCTAAATCAGAGAACAGTAGCAATAATACTTCCACATAGCTACCAAGAAAGCTACTTGGAAGAGTGCTTGGAGATTAGTTTCACTGAAACTAAAAACTTCATCTTTGCCTATCCCAATGTATGTCCAGGGGTGGGGAGGAGATATTATTTTGCAAATCTATAATAATTTCCAGATGTTGTTGCTAATCATTGGTAGTTACTAATGGGTAAATGCTTATGCTCCTCTGAAGTACTATTATTGATTTCATTGTTTAAAATAATTGGCTAATCAGACTGATACAATACATCCCTGCCTCTCCTCCCCCCCCAAAATCATTATATCTTCTCTTCCATTTTTTATGTTTAGCGACATAGCACGGAAACAAGGTTTATTTTAACTGCTTCCACAAAAGTGAGGCCGCATGCAGACCATGCATTTAAAGGAGGGGGGGAAGGAATTGAGAAGAGATGGCAAGCCCACAGAGGTCCCTAGGCTCAGGTGGTTTTCAACCATAAGTTTAGCTTAGCTCTTTCAGTAATTTGTCACGCTTTGGCTTTCCCCTGCTGCGCCAGCACGTGCCAGCTTAGTATCAGAAAGTCTGTGCACCAGACGGCCACTCAGGCCTAACATCCTGCTGTTCAGGACCAGCACTTGCTGTGTCAGTATGGAATTGAGATCCCTAGCAACAGCCAAGCACCAGGCAGAATAAGCATGTTCATAATGAGAAGTGAATGGCATCCATCAGTCCCTTTAGAATAGGTTCTAGGCGTATGGCTCTCTCCTAAGAAGTTTGGCATCGAGTCACCAGCAATTCAGCATATAACAGAAACGCATATCTAACTATACCTAGGAATGGGATATAAATAAACCAGAGGAATGGGATAAAAATGAACAGGTATGTAGTGTGAAATACCCTGTTAGTTTCTGTCACTGCACAATAATGGCACAGAGATATGGGGGGAAAAACACCTTAAAACAATCATGTTGACCTTATTTTGTTGTATGTGATAATCCGTTGATTTCAATAATAATGACCAAGAAATAAATTATTCGAACTTTTAGAAATGGTTTACAAGTTGCTTCTGTTGTATTTTTAAAGTGAAATGTGCTATTAAAAAACACATTTGTAAGATATTAAGGAGTAACAAATACACAGATAAGAGTGCAGTAAAAGATTTACCATTTGTTCCAACCTCTGAAGGAGTCTTATAACAGTAACCAATTTTCTTATATTTAAAAAACACTGCATACAACTGAAAATCTATTTTCAATCTGAATAACAATATATATTATTATTGATTGACCACATAATGAATGACCACTGAAGTTATAAAATCCAATATAAGATACATTTATCTGCACTAGATATATAAAAAATACTATACTCATCACCAAAGAAATTAGAAACTGCACACAAAGAGAGAGATTTGCTGTCTTCCCTATGAAAAGATGTCACAAGCAGGGGTCCTGTAAAGACAGCTGGAAAGTTGCTTCTGCTTATTATGCTGGTAAGCTTTATTGCTGACTAGCTTTTGATTATGCATTTATATGGTGTATGTTCCCGGTTACTGATTTTTAATTAAAGGCAACATCTTTAATTTTAGATACTTAAGGCTAAAGTATACACATGATCTATTTTTAAATTTTGACTAGCTCAAGAAATTGCTAGTCCTTCTGGAAAATCTCAGGCATGAAACATTAGCATGTCTTAAGAATATTTTATACACACACACACACACAGAGAGAGAGAGAGAGAGAGAGAGAGATCTTTGGTTATTCGGGTTTTCTCCCACATAAGATTGGAAGTATCTAGGCAACGTTTCGATGAAGTCTCATTCATCATCTTCAGGCTTGTGTCTTCGGCTCTGTGCTTCTCAGAGTAATGTGAGCTTGCCTAGATACTTCCAATCTTACGCGGGAGAAAACCCGAATAACCAAAGATCCACATACAAATACCTGTGAAAACCTCAGAAGATAGATAGATAGATAGATAGATAGATAGATAGATAGATAGATAGATAGATAGATAGATA